AAAACAGAGTGCTACCTCACTAAAATACCATGTACGTTAATAGTGATACGTCTTCGTCCTGTCTTCGGTTTAAATTGTTAGAGAATTGTACGAATCAGAAATGTATACGGAGGTGTAACTTACTAGTGACGTCAAGCTACACGTATGACGTCACAAGTATCACGTGACCTTCTACTTCTACCGTAGATTATGTCAGAGATCTGCGAAAGAAAAAGACGGGGGAGTGACAAAACTAGGTAAAAATGGTTGTTTAATATTGAGAAGATAGGAGGGAAGCTTTGAAGGAGTCAGTTATCTTACACGCTACGTGTAGCAGACGGCAGTTTATTCCAGTCACAGATAGTTCTGGGGAAGAAGGATTGTTGTCTACAGGTAGTTCTGGAATGACGTGTTTGGTAGGAGTAGGAGTGAGAGAATGTGGTCTGTCGCGTTTTGGGTGTAAGAGTGTTCTGCTGGACTTAAACTAAGTTATGGGTAATTTCGTATAACATGGAGAGCCGTGCATCTTTACGTCTGGCCTGAAGACTGCGCCAACCAAGATCTAATAACATGTCACCAACGCTAGAGGTGTTATGAAATGTTGGTGACATAGCGTGCAGCCCTTCTCTGTACCATTTCTAATTTTTCAATATCACATTTTAGGTATGGGTCCAAGACAGGAGATGAGTACTCAAGAGATGGACGGATGAGTGACCTATAAGCATGTTCTTTAATTATCCTGGAGATTATTTTTTATTTCTTCTCAGGAAGCCCATGCAGTGTCTTATTTGCTTTCCCAGTGATGTTATTTAAATGAATAAATAAATAAATATACAACATTTGATCTGGCGCCCTATCTAGCTAACATAAGCCACTCTAAAGCGCTTTACAGTACATAGATATACAATTAATACAATAAGCATATACATTAATCAATAGTTTTTGAGGAATTCGCAAGAGCTGCCTTATCAGGCGCTAACTGCTAGTCCTATGCCACCTGGCTAATATCTCCCCATGTGTGTTTGCCTGCGTGTGTACTGGAGATGTAATATGTAATTTATATGGGACTCCCATTTAAGGTCTTGTTGCAATGCGACTCCTAAATACTTTGCCTTATCAACATTTTCAAGTGTGTGATTGTGGAGAGTAGTTATAAAGGACAGGATTTTTCCATTTTTCTTCCCACGTTTCAAGTTTAAGCAGATCGGATTGGAGGATGGCTGCATAGTGTCGTCTGAGAATAGACGGGTAGATGATGAGAGTCCAACAGGGATGTCGTTTATATAATATAAAAATAGACTTGGTCCGAGGACCGACCCCTGAGGGACCCCCGACTCCACTGCGACATACTAGGGGGGTACGGGGGCATGCCCCCGATTTTTTTTAGATCTAGAAGCACTATCGTGCCATCTGGTGGCTTTTAAGATACATATTTGAGTGTTTTAATTTAATTTACAGACAACATTTTTTGGTTGATTCATTCACTTCATTATTGAAAAGCATCGCAAAAATTCATATGTATTTCAAATGCGAAAGACAGCACTTTTTTCTCCTTTTTCTCTCCGACAAAAATGTGTCGCTTGTTGGAATTACCCGAAAATATCTGTTGCGTCATATCTCTTTCCTGATGAATCTAAATTACCTAGATATTTAAAATGTCGGAGCCAATATGAACAGATTAATTTCAGATTTTTTGCTGTTGTGTCCCCCAAATCCTTTTTATATCATCAACATTTCTCAGAACATAAGGTGACGGTAGCTCCTATATCGATGTTTAGATACATGTAAACATATATATCCAGTAGCCCTACTGAAGATAGGCCTAGGACTACTCTTAAAAAAATACTTGATCAGTTCATGACAGGGACAAATGAAGGCCTATATAATGTCACAGATTAGCAAAAGCTACATGTACGTGGCTTTTTCATATTACATTTGCAGGCGAAGTGAATGTAAAACCCAGATGGATCCTATACGCGCATATATCCGCCCTAAAACCTATAAAAACAATGCTAGTAACAAATCAATCTACAATTGTTATTTATTCGGAAGACCTTTAATTGGTGAAAAAAAATACACAAAAACTCCGTTGACTTAGTTGTATTTCATTACAATCGCTTGTTAAAATGTTGCCGTGTATGGAATTTGAACTCGTGAGCTTTTTCCCATCTTTTTGACAGGATATCGATATCCACTTTCACTTTAGTAAGACGCTTGTATTCCCGATATCAGGGGTAACAACAGTCAGACTGATCAGAACTGTGTTCGGTCGGTCCGGCATTACTAGGCCCTAATACTAATAGCCGTTTTAGACTCGTCGATGCCTAAGTTAATGTCGCAAGAGGATGTTGTTTCATGTGAACCTACAGCTGCTTGGAAGAAGTCAGATGCGGGTTTTTTGTTGGCTTTGCAGTCATGTTTCCGATATTGACAACTTTAAAAATACTAATAATAAAATCGGCACCAGGTACCATATAGGTTGGAACTTCCGGATACGTACTGATTGTCGGGCGGCTGTCGGTTATACAGTTAAATTTAATATATTTTTCAAATGAACCACATATCATTTAATCACTTTTCCGAACTACAAAATAAATGAATAAATAAATAAAAATATAATTGTTTATTTGAATTTTTGATGTGCATGCAACTGCTTATTTGCTTACGTGGCAGCTACGCGCCTGATTGTATTATGTTCATCTACATGAGACATTATATGACTGACAACTATATGTTCCAGAATTTTACTGCAAAATCATGTTAAGGAGATGGGACGATAAGTTTCTGGGTTATACTTAGGACCTTTCTTATATATTGGAGATATATGTGCGACTTTCCAATCAGAAGGATTAAACAAAATAGTGAGGATAGGTGCTTATTCATCTGATAGTTCCTTAAGAATTTTAGGGCTGATATTGTCTGGACCAGGAGATTTGTTTGTGTTGAGGTTGAATAGTAATTTCCTAATACCCTCATTAGTTATAGTAAGGTCAGTGATGGTAGGATAGTTTGAGGTCATTTTACATCTATCTTTAAACATAGCAGGGGATGTGGTTTCAGCACTGCTGGATACAGATTGAAATTGTCTGTTTAGGATATCTGCCTTACTCGACCAATAAGCTCATCAAAAGTATCGCCAGTAAGGTCACATTTGATTTCCTACATCTAGATAATGGGACACTTCTAAATATTCAACTATATCACAGGTTTCGCTAGTTTTTACAAAATGTCTAAAATCTTGCCCCAAATCCCGATGTTTATAGGCTCTAATTTAAAGGGACACATATGAATTGAGCCATACTGCGGCTCATTCTCGAAACTCCAGGGGTGGCCGGGTTGCCCTCACTTATAAACGTTCTTTGTCACAGGGACCTGAGAATTCGGACCTTAACTGAGGTGTTCCGAGTTATTTTTATATGTTTAGGGGTTTAGATTGACTTTCGGTAAAAATGTCGAAAATTCGACCCCACCTAACTTTCTTTGATCAAAAACAACATTTCTAGTTTACGCACGAAAAAATGCTTCGGAACGTTGTAAAGAAGGATATTTTTTTGGCTATATGCACAAAAAAATGCAATTCCTCCGCAAACACGCCATTTTAGAGAATCGAAGTTTTTCGCAGTCATAGAACCACTTTTTGTATATTCATGAAGTTGACATCAGTCACGTGCCGAGACGCGGGGTGTGATTGGCTTGCATCGAAGCGCAACCATTTTTTCACTAAAATTACCAGCCAACCTTGTGTACAGCGTACTCTGTGTCCCTCAATATGTAGAAGATAGTTGAAAGGCGCACTGTCAAGGAGAACGTAAAGTTTGTGGTTAAAAAAATGTTGTTGTTTTTTGCTCTTTTTTTTTAAAATAAAAAGTTAAACTGCATGTTTTGACACGAGGACGACGTCTGCTTCATGAATATACAAAAAGTTTCTCTATGACTACCAAAAAAACTTTGAAACTCTGAAATGGCGTTAATGTTTTGATGAAACAGAGATCAAATGTCCTGCTTTGTGAAGGTACTAGGTAGCAACCACGATCATTTCAATGTTTAATGTGAAAACAGAAACAGCCAAAGCCAGTCATGATCGCATCAGGTGAAATCTAATATAAGATCAGAACAATGTACTGAAAAGGAAAAGAAATTTATAAATAATGTTATCAACTTCATAAAATGAGGAAGACGAGTTTCGTCTGTTGAAGAGCCTTGCTCAAGCCCGGTATATTCAATGAGGTGGGGGAGGTGCATACAAACAAGATAGTTTTACCGAATTTTGTTGCAAACATATCAATTAATTTTTTAATTAATGCCACGAGATCAATTAATATTTCAGAGAATTTCTTTGACTAACGAACAAATTTGCTTGAATCGAATCCGGATTTTTTTTCTTCGGTTATTTTTCAGCTTGATTGACTTCCGGCGGAAATCATCCTAATTCGCTTGAGTCGGATTATATATCATTTTTTGTCATTTTCTGAATTTATAATCGACATTTCAAGAGATAGAAGACATTTGGACGAGAATCTTCTTTGTCACAGTTTGCAGAAGGTATGCTGTCATAATTTTAAAGCATTTTGGGCGCAAACTGAAGTGAGGAACCTGCCGAACTGATCAAATTGTATCGAGTGGCGTGAAATCATTTGGGTCAGAATGATCACGCCTGACTCTAATCAGGTTTCGCAAATTCTGCTGTATCTATCCATCACCTCACTAAGATTTATCAAGTTATCGATAAAACAAGATTCAAATTGTAGTATTTTACGTATATATACGTGCTTGTGATGTGCATTAATTGTTTCCTAAGATAGCATATGGTCATTTGACCTACAGACTCGACATTTAGGCGACGGCGAGTAATGTGGGATGAGTGATCTCCCTTGCACCGATTTGTCGGTCCAAACTGGACCTCAGGGACCATGTAGGTGCTGGGGTTCTGGGATATATGTGATATATTATCGCACCCCACTAGATATTGCACCCCCTTATACTAATAAATCATATGATTTATTAGTATAAAGGGATGATTTATTAGTATAAGCACGGAATTAGATTTAATACCGTGGTATAAGTGGGTGCCATATCTAGTGGGGTGCGATAATATATCACATATTCCAGAACGTGAGCACCTACGAACTGGACCACAGGTGACAGACAAGGCTAGTACCTGTGACTGGATCGCTTTCGTTTATCGCAATCCAAACGTTTGAACGGGTTGTGACCAGAGTTGTGCATCGATGAAATAGTGTTGGACCATTAGTAATCTGATGCTGCTTTCAGGCGAGCCTTGACCAAGCCTTGCAAGGCCTATTCATAAACTTTTGCATATCCGCCAGGTATTCTTATTACATAAGAGGCCGCTGGTCAGCCTTTTTTCTATCGGATATGATTTGGCCGACTGCGACGCCTTTCAAAAGTTTCTCGTCATGTAAAATCTCTAACATTGTTGTATTAATCCGCCAGGATTTATACTCGAAAATGTAACATTTAAAAACGGAACATACAAGCAAACCAATCATCCATTACAAAATTTGAATTATTAAAAGCCTGCTTTATGCTTATTGGCATTTCTGTTAGAATATGTAGTAATTTGCAAAGGTAAACACCAAGCAGATACATAACAAGAGATCCCAGAGTACCATCTTCATTAGTTCTATGTCAGTTTGATCTTTTCTCTATTCTTTTTGTTAAGTTTGCCTGTCAGCCATCTTAATCAAGTAAACATTCACAACTCAGGACCAAGCTAAGGGGAACCTACATATCAAATTTGAGAAAAATACCTCCAATAAATTCTGAGAAATAGCGATAACAAACTTAAACTGTAACAAGATGTCCAGCAGATATGATTTGATATGCATAATTAAGGACAAGAGGAACCCTTGTGTGAAATTTGAGAAAGATCCCTCCTGTCTACTGTAGTTTTTGAACAATAGGGCTAAAATAATATTAGTCCTAAATTCAATATGACCACCAGTGTTAGCAATCTTGGTTTTTCGAATCATCCTCAAAATTGAAATGCAGAACTAGTAACCATTGGGAACCTTCATGTGAAATTTGGGAAAGACCGCTCCGGAACATTCTTAGAAATAACGCTAACAAACTTTCATTCTCAAATTCAAGATGGCCATCTATTGGCCTTATTGGTTTTCCCTTCTGTCCCAAAATTTAATATTCGTAACTAGGGACCATGGGGCACTGTGATGTAAAATTTGAGAAAGACCCCTCCAGAACTTTCTGAAAAACAGAGCTAACAGACTAACTCTCAAATTCAAGATGGCTGCATGTCGGCCATTTTGGTTTTGTGATCAGTCCCAAAAAATGATATTCATAACTAGGGATCATAGGGAACCTTGATGTGAAATTTGAGAAAGATCCCTCCAGTAATTTCTGAGGAACAGCGCTAACAAACTTTCACTTTCAAATTCAAGATGGCTGCCCGTCGGCCATCTTAGTTTTGTGATCAGTCCCAAAAAACGATATGCTTAACTAGTGACGATGGGGAATCTATATGTAAAATCTGAGAAATATCCCTCAAATCCTTTATGAGAAAATAGCGCTAAAAAAAATCATTCTCAGATTAGATGGCTGGCTGTCGGTCATCTTGGATTTGCGTTCAGTCCCAAAATTTGATATGCATAACAAGGGATCATGGGGAACATTCATTAAAGATTTGAGAAAGATCCCTTCTGTACTTTCTGAGAAATAGTGCTAACAAGAATTGTTTAAGGACGGATGGACCACGGACACAGCCTCTCAGGGTGATTTGAATATATATATAGCCCGCCATCTGATGATGGTTGGCTAAAATTATGCTTTTTAAAAATATTGCGATACATCAATATTTCATCTCAGTATTGTGGTATGATAGGATATACCTGTTTTCTGATATATTGTGATAGCCCTAGTATATATCAACACTGGGTAAAGATGCCACTCAAAAGATGGGGCATTATTGTAGATGTAGAAAGGGAAGAAAGCATATAAAACAATGGACCACATTATAAACTTTCTGTCTTTATGACTGATTTCATTTAATTGTGCCATTTATTTCTCTTTTTTTTGTGCTTAATCTTGTCTCTTCATGGTGAAAAGATGAAACAACAAAAATCAGTCATCGTTAAGATCTGAGGTGTTTTTTTCTTTCTTTTCAGTGTATTGTGTTAAGGTCAAAGTTCAATGTCAACTTCATCGTACAAAAAATGTGTATATACACCCAGAGACAAAATAACACTATGAAATGGAATCTTTTGTGTTGTTCTTTCAGATGAAATGATTAAATCTAAGAATAGAATGGTTTAGGAAATTAACAGTTTGAAAATGGTCCAAATTTGGGAGTCTCCCTCCAAAAAATAGGGAGAGTTGGCAAGTTTGGATCTAGCTGACCAGAATAAAAAAGCACCTCAAGCTATTGTGTCCAGTACAAAAATTAAACGGCTGGAATAAAGTATTACTTTGCATAAATTAAAGGTTTTTCTTAACCTTTCCTCTCGGGAATAGATTTGGTTAATTTTCTGCGCAATTGTGGTTAAAATTTCCACCTTTAAATATATTTAGCTGCTACATCAAATTTTCAGTACATAGATTTCATACGTAAAGTTTGTGGTTTAAAACATTAATGTATACACATGAAACAGTTTTAGTTTTGACATTCGTTATATTCATGTGTATCATTAGTTAAATTAATTTCAAACATTTTTTTTCTTTTCAGCCAGCACTGAAGTGATGGAAGTTAACTGACAGATCCAGACTGTAAAGGGGGATTGTAAAAAATCCAAAAGTCAGAATGTCAATTCATTCGGCAGATGATCTGATTCAGCTTGCGGAAGCATCTGAAAGGGTTCGAGCTGGACGTGTTGGGGTCATTGGGCAGAACATCATTGCTGGGGCACCTGGACCAGATGGAGATAAAGAGGTTGAAGGTCAGAGTGAAGATGGAAACCAAGGTCATGCACAGGTCAGAGGTCAAGGGGACATTGTACAGTCTATATGTATAGAATCAAACAATGAAGGTTATGAAGGATCTGACCAGATTGTAAGCATTTCTGGCGGAGGCCAGCAGACACAGACAATCATTTTACAGGAATCTGAGGAGCTGGGAAGCCTTCTTCAAGAAGCTGGAGTTGTGCATATCATTGTACAAGATGAGGACGGAACCAGCAATAGCAACAGCCAAGGGGAGACAACTGCAGTCATAGCTGACAACATTGGAGAGTTGCTGGACAGAATAGCTAGTATCACTGGTGAATCTGTCAGTCAGGAGATTATAACAACATTTTCTAAGGACGAACCAAGTTCTGAAGGTACAGGTGAAGAAGATATCGTGGATAGAATTACGGGAAATGATGGTATAAAAGGAGAAATTGATGATATGCAGAGTAGTGGGTTTATTATCCATGAAGGGGAACAGTATAATATGTCTATTACACAAAAGGGTGAAGAGTACAGTGTAACTGTTGTACAGGGAGGTGAACAGAACAGCCTTCAAGAAGTACAGAAAAGTGAACATTCCAGCAGCCCAGACGTCAAGTTAGAAGAGGAAAACGATGAAACGATGCACACTGAGGATACTTTAGGAGAGCACAATGATGAAGGCACTGAAGACGAAGCTTCAGCAAACGAAGAAGCTGAGGAACCTGGCAAGAAGAAGAAGAAGAGAAAGAAAAAGAAAAAAATATTTAAAAAAGATAATGCTATCAATACAAGTCCAGACAAGATAAACATTGAGAATGAAGACACATCGGGAGTAAAGCGAGTCCGTCCAATCAAGTGTGACGGATGTAGTGAAACATTCCAGGATCAGGTTACATTTAAGGCTCACAGGCTGGAGAGTGGAGAGAGGCCACACACATGTGACGAGTGTAAACTGGACTTTGTCTGGAAGGTCGATCTTGCCCGACACAATCGTGAAAAACATGTATACATGTGTGCCGAATGTAGCAAGTTGTTTCCAACCAAGACTACACTAGATCTTCACCTGTTTCAGACCCACAACAAACCGACACCCCACCGCTGTCATGATTGCAATAAGAAGTTCCAGTCTGCAGAGGCGCTAGAAGAACATGTCAAATGCCACCAAAACGACCCCAAAACCAAGTGTGAAACCTGCGGTAAGACATATGTTACCAAGTACCTGCGTCAACACATGCTTCAGCACAATGGCACCAAACCTTACATCTGTGATATTTGTGGAATGGGATTCACCACTAAGCGGTCTGTCACCTTCCACAAGACGATTCACTCTGGGGATAAGCCTTATGAATGTGACATCTGTCACAAGACGTTTCGTCTGGAGGCACTCGTACGATCTCATAAGAGGACACACATGAAGAGTAAACCATTTCTGTGTTCTTTCTGCGGGAAAGGTTTCACCTCAAACTCAGACCTACAGCGCCACCTACAGGTTCACACATCAGCATGGAAGTTCAAATGTTCCATATGTGATCAGGGTTTTGGACAAAAAGGTCAGCTTGATACACATTTCCGGAAACACACTGGTGAGAAACCATTTAAATGTGATCAATGTCCCTGTTCCTATCGAAGCTGGAAAAGTCTAAAAGATCACAAGAAGACTCACTTGGATGTTAAACCGTACATGTGTGAGGTTTGTGGAAAGGGATATATTCGCAACGCTCTGCTCCAGCAGCACATGCAGATTCATGCGAAAGCTGAGATCAAATGCAAAACCTGTGGAATCATCATCGAACGGTTGGATTTGTATCGGGAACACATGAAGGAACATAGGGAGGAGAAGGAGAAATTATGTAACTATGAATGCCAAATTTGTCAGAAAAAATTCTATATTCAAGTTCGTTACCAGAGACATCTTGATCTTCATGCTGAAAGAGGACAGACAATATTCCCATGTAACATCTGTTCGAAGCGATTCAAGTCTCAGGCAATTTTAGACTCTCACCGACTGAAAAAGCACAATTGTCCTCCTTCTGATGTAGCAATGCAACAGCAACAGCTCCCCCAGCAGCAGCAGCAAGCTGCTCATTATCTGGAAAACTCGCAACAACAGACTCAACATCCACAGCAACAGATGCAACAGCCACAGCAACAGCTTTCTGAGTCTCAGCTTCATCATCAACATTTACAGCAGACACCCCCACAGCCTCATCAACAGCAGCAGCATATTTCACAGCAATCTATTCTAGCCCCACAGCACCACAGCCAGCAATCCCAACTCTCACATCCACAAAATCCTCAGCAGCCTCCTCAACAGTCACTACTTAATCACCATCAAATGTCCCAGCAACACCCCCAACAGTCACTTCTGGCTCCACAACAGAATTCTCAACAGCACCTTCAACAATCTCTACTTCCTAATCTACAGAATTCTCAGCAAATTCCTCATCTTCAGAATTCTCCTCAACAACTCCAGCAGTCACTGCTGTCAGAACAGCAAGTTTCTCAACAATATAATGAACTGTCGCAACTTTCTCATCTTCAAACTCCTCAGCAGCCTCATCAACAGTCTCTCCTGTCTCACCAATCATTGCTTGTCCAGCAAAGCCAGCATTCTGTTTCTCCCCTACAGAACCCTAACAACCAGGTAATGGATCATTCCGTGTCACCCCTACAGAACCATACCCAGGCCATGGAGCAGACCGCCATACAAGTGGCACCGCACTCAATGCAAGGTAAATATCTTTACTTTTCCTTAGCTTTATAAATAGTCTTGTGTACGCAGAACCAACTCTCTTCCTGCAGTTATATTAAGCATCTCATCTTATTCTTGTCGGTAGTTACATCTTTTGTTAAGCTCAATGATGGAGTGCAAATCATATCTTCTTAACAGATACTGTGAAAGAGACTTCTCGTGTGTGGAATTGGTTTCTCTTTGAACTGATCGCAGCGTAGAAATCTTTTCTTTAATAATGGTTGCAAAATCTGTATATAATTTATATTAATGATCTATATCTAGACATGTTTGTGTGTGGATATTTTTCACACTAAAATACTCAATTGCAAAAATACACTATTGCAAAAATACATTATCTTTCCGAGGGCTAGACAATACGGGAAGCCCGCTAGTCTGAAACTAGTGAAATCTACGATCGACTTGCAAATATTTGATATTATTTATCATGTTGAATAATATTGGGTTAGGGGAATCGGCACACTAAAACTGTAAACCATTAGACAGACAGATTAGTGTTATTTTTAACAAAAGTTAAGCCTTGATTTCCACACGGCGATAGTTAGACGTATGCAGTACATACTTCTGATATTGTTTATACAATAGGATATGTACAGTGATTTCTTTCTGAAATAGACGACTCTGGGACCATATAAGTTAGTGTCGGTTTGTAGATAGTTTCATACGGTACAGTCTACTTACTTTTTCTTGTCATTTTCTAAATAACCAGGTAAATTGTTTTCATTAGTGTACTGTTGCAGACCTTTAATTGTGATGTTAGTTGACATTAATTTTCTGTTTTCTGTTGATATTTTCTAGGAAACATCTTCACCTGTACACTGTGCCAAAGGACATGTGACAATGCCGAAAAATACGAGAGCCAGCGAACCCCTGGAAATTTCATCTGTATCAAGTGCCATCTTAAGGAAGGCTCGTCCATGAATAAAATCCGATACAAATGCGCAATCTGTGACCGGTTATTTATAGACCTTCAGAAGGCCCAGCTGCATAGTAAGGCCCATGCAAATACTCCAGAAGTGTCCGTCAGTGTTACCGACTCAACTGAACAGACCTACATGGTACAGATCGTTGAAGGTGACGGTGAAAAGGGAGGTAACAAGGTCATTCACTACTGTGATATATGTGGAAAGGGTTACACGTGGATTAACAGTCTTCACAGACACAAGAAACTCCACTGTACAGAAAATCTTAAGATCAAGAACACGAGCTTCAAGAACTATAAGTGCGAAATTTGTGGGAAGGGATTCACTTGGAGGTCTAATCTGAACCGCCACAAGCAAACACATCGCGACAAGATTATTTATATTTTCCGTACGGACGGCGAGGATATGACTCTGGAGGAAGATACCGCAGCAACTGATAAACCATTCCATGTGACCGGTATTGAGGGAACCGATTATTTGGAAATGGATTCCACATATGAGGATCATTTGGTCGAGGAACAGATTGAAAATAAGGATGTTGATAAGACATTTACATGTGATGTTTGTGGAAAGTCTTTCTTGTGGCAGAATAGTATGATAACTCACAGAAACTCACATTTCGTTTTCAACAGTCAGCCAAACATTGGGAACACCATGACTTACTCCAACAACATCCCTAGCCTCACAACATCTCCGAATAAGATGGAACAGATGGGCGACCAGAGCAGCCTTGGGAACATGATCCCAGCCAGTAACACTATTGTAATACAGTCGTCGGTGAACAATTTGATGACTGTGAACAATCCCGGTATAGCTCAAGTCGTGTCCAATGTACACCACCCTAACAGTAACACTGGCAACATTAACACCGTGGACGCCGTCGTTCAGGTGGTACAGACGGACTACATCTGCGACGTGTGCGGAGGTGACTTTTTCACACAGAAAAATTTAGAAGCTCACAAACAAGTCCACCTGATACCAGAAGTGGTCATAGGCTATTCAGAAACTAATCACATGGAATATCCGGCACTTCCCTCCGATAAAAAATTTGCCTGTGATGTCTGCGGTAAAGGTTTCAGCTGGAGTAACAGTTTAAGTCGTCATAAACAGGTCCACAAACGGCAGGTCTCGTCTTTGATTCCAGGTACAAGCCTGTCCGAGCAAGAAGACATGCAGAAGCCATTCAAGTGTGACTACTGTGGAAAGGGGTTTGCACGTCGTGATAACTTGAACTATCATAGACGAATCCATCAGGGTGCTAAGCCATACAGCTGTCACATTTGTGGGAAGTCGTTTAACTGGGGTTCGTATTATAAACAGCACATGGTCATGCACAAGGGGGATAAACCGTATGTATGTAAGTTCTGTGGGAAGGCGTATGCCTGGAATCTTTTGTTACAAAACCACTTGAGGACTCACACTGGAGAGAAACCATTTCAGTGTGAGATATGCAAGAAAAATTTCCGTCAGAGATCTCATTTGGCAGTACACATGAGGAGCCATTCGGGTGAAAAGATGAGCAAATGCGATGTCTGTAATAAAAAGTTTTTTGATTCATCCTCACTCAGACGTCACATGAGAATTCACTCAAAGGAGAAGCCATACAAATGTGAAATATGCAATAAACAGTTTTCAGATAGTTCCAATCTAAAAAGCCACATGCGAAGACATACCGGGGTCAAACCATTCGAATGTGGCGCCTGTGGAAGAATGTTCAGTGTAAAACAAAACCTAACGCGTCACTTCATCATACACAGAAAAGAAGAAGCCATGGCCAAGGAGAGGGCAGGATTGACTGGGAAAAAGTCAAAGGAAAAATCGTGAAATACCTAGTACTACTGAGGTAGACTTTTTCTGAACAATATACAGTAATGTCTTATGTCTGATTAATTAGATACTGTGAAAATATAGAAAAGGGTGGAAAAAAAAAGATAGCATCCGTATGCGTACAAGATTATTTTTTTCCCGGTGAAATGTACATCATATACATCATATACATATATGATGTACACTTCACCGTCTGTTCCCGAAGGCACTATTTAGAGAACTTGTTAGTTTTTGTCCTAAAGACATAATATATAAACTTGCTGAAAGCACTATAGATAAAGACCACTTTTTTTTCAACTCTGAAGGCACAAGAGAGAAGACATTTTTGATTCTCCTAGTGCATGTATTGGGTAATTGCTAACATAAATCTTGTAAGTTTTACACTGATGTAAATGTGAATTTTTGAGCTGAAAATGCTTGGGGGGGGGGGGGAAACACTCGACGCCCATTCTCACTTATCATGCGCCATTAACCGAAAATCATGTCGCATGATCTTTTCACCACCTATAAAATAGCCTATATGTTAAAAACTATAGTTCACTGTTTTAACATTGATGTTTTCCAAACTCATACAATTTTTTTAATGAAAATGTACGGTAATTTTTACATGAACATGCCAATATACTCAATTAATCATTGTCGCGTCACTTTTTCTGATACAAAAAGCTTTGCATTTGTGTTCAGTTTAAGTTTACTTATATCCAAACCAAATTTGATTAATTCAATATCAATAATTTAAGCTAAAACATTATTTTTTAGCGATTATCTACTGTCGCAAAATGTCATGCCAGATACGTTACTAAACAAAACACCCATAATACAAGCATTTATTATCAGTAAATACAAGTTTGAAAATATCTTGGTATATTGACTCAAGGTTTCTTATATCGCATATAAATCCATCGACATTAGTTCCATAGACATATATCAAGTATCCTGTATGAAACTTGGTATTCATGGTTTGTCCGTTAAAATCTCAACAGATACGTGACCTGTATTTGGGTTTTTTATAGCTTACACTATACAACTGAAGTATAGTGATATTGTATACAGTTAAATAGCATTATATTGTGTTATCAATGTACGTATCAAACAAGTGATTCCATTTACTTTACCAATACTAACTCCATGTTTTTGTTATGCCCTAATTACCACTTTGTAAAATAGATATTTACAGGTGAGCATCACATTTGTTACAGCTCTGGATGATTTTTTTTCAAATTGATTTTGAAAAATATTAGTGAGTTGTTCACCCTTTTCTCATATACCATGTGCAAATAAATTTTCATTGCATTTTAATTTTTGTCTTTTTCGTCCTCAGTAATGAGGGGAAATTAATCATTGCATTGACATTAGGAAAAAGCCTAATTAACTCATTCACCCCTGAAATTTCATAATGAACTATTCCAACTTTTTATTTGGAAGAGTTCAACTGTGCCTTCAGGGGTGAATGAGTTAATTTAGTAATTAAATGTAAAGGGGGAAATTAACACTGGGAAAAATATGTATTTTACTCGCAAAGGGCAAACATTGTACCTTTATCCTATATGATGCAGACATACATTTTTGTATTCTACATGATTTTAATATATGTTTACCGCTGTTCAGTTATTTAAGAGTAAACTTAATAAGATGAATACTTACAATGGTCTCTATTCTCTATTACAGTAATGTCATTAGACTGCATTGTACATTATCGTGAGTGTGTAATGGTAGACTGTGAAATGAGATGTTTTTGAATGATCATATAAACATGTACTCGTAATATACTATAATGTAGTTCTAAGGTGGTAGAGCCAACAGCGCCTTTCTCGTGTGCATGTGTAGGTGGTTCCAGTACCCTTCACTTTGAATACCTAAAGGTATGAAGGGTAGTTGAGGAATAGGGGTCGTATAATGTATACGTGTTAGAAGGGAAATGGTGGTATTTTTTATTTAATTAAAATCTGTTTCATGTAACCCATGAATCTGAGGTTTTTATTTTGTAATAACCCTGAAGATTTTCTCACTATGAATCAAGGGGCTTTTGGATCACCTCAGCTGATATTCATTTTTAATTCAGGATTAAATGCTCTTGGAACACCACAGCCAATTTAATACAGTCATGTGATTCAACCATTCGGAACACATCAGCCTTTTGATTTTGGTCATCTCCTTTGATGAATGATAATGTCATCAGAACGAGGTGTTCCGAATGGTAATTCTACCTTCAGTTGGGTATTCTGAATGAAATGGAAGGCTGATCTGAGGTATATGTACTCTGAATGACCAGATCTGTATATTTCTGTATATAAATTGTTCATGGATTGTAACATTTGTGTGACTTAGTTAGTTTACTATGAACTGTTAAGATGTTTGTTTTTCTCATTAACGAAGTTCATTTTTTTTCGTATTCATTTGTTTTTTGGAACAATAAACATGCATAAATTTTAAATATTGAGTTTGTATTCTTTGAAATCTAATTAAGTTACTGAATTGTAAACTGTTGATATTCTGTTTTAGTAATTCTGCCTTCATTTTCATCAGCAAAATATCAATTCACCAGTATTAGCAAATAAACCAGATGAATAGGTACAGGTAGTCAGGATTACCTCTAGGCTATCTAGAGAAGCTAGGACATTAATTAGAAATGCCAGAATATCTAAGGATCCCTGTCCCTACCTCAAGGCTATCTAGAGAAGCTAGGACATCAATTAGAAATGCCAGAATATCTAAGGATCACCTGTCCCTACCTCAAGGCTATCTAGAGAAACTAGGACATCAAATAGAAATGCCAGAATATCTAAGGATCCCTGTCCCTACCTCTAGGCTATCTAGAGAAGCTAGGACATCAAAAAGAAATGCCAGAATATCTAAGGATCACCTGTCCCTACCTCTAGGCTATCTAGAGAAGCCAGGACATCAAATAGAAATGCCAGAATATCTAAGGATCCCTGTCCCTACCTCTAGGCTATCTAGAGAAGCTAGGATATCAAATAGAAATGCCAGAATATCTAAGGATCACCTGTCCCTAATTCTAGGCTATCTAGAGAATCTAGGATATCAAATAGAAATGCCAGAATATCTAAGGATCACCTGTCCCTACCTCTAGGCTATCTAGAGAAGCCAGGACATCAAATAGAAATGCCAGAATATCTAAGGATCCCTGTCCCTACCTCTAGGCTATCTAGAGAAGCTAGGACATCAAATAGAAATGCCAGAATATCTAAGGATCACCTGTCCCTACCTCTAGGCTATCTAGAGAAGCCAGGACATCAAATAGAAATGCCAGAATATCTAAGGATCCCTGTCCCTACCTCTAGGCTATCTAGAGAAGCTAGGACATCAAATAGAAATGCCAGAATATCTAAGGATCACCTGTCCCTACCTCTAGGCTATCTAGAGAAGCCAGGACATCAAATAGAAATGCCAGAATATCTAAGGATCCCTGTCCCTACCTCTAGGCTATCTAGAGAAGCTAGGACATCAAATAGAAATGCCAGAATATCTAAGGATCACCTGTCCCTACCTCTAGGCTATCTAGAGAAGCCAGGACATCAAATAGAAATGCCAGAATATCTAAGGATCCCTGTCCCTACCTCTAGGCTATCTAGAGAAGCTAGGACATCAAATAGAAATGCCAGAATATCTAAGGATCACCTGTCCCTACCTCTAGGCTATCTAGAGAAGCCAGGACATCAAATAGAAATGCCAGAATATCTAAGGATCCCTGTCCCTACCTCTAGGCTATCTAGAGAAGCTAGGACATCAAATAGAAATGCCAGAATATCTAAGGATCACCTGTCCCTACCTCTAGGCTATCTAGAGAAGCCAGGACATCAAATAGAAATGCCAGAATATCTAAGGATCCCTGTCCCTACCTCTAGGCTATCTAGAGAAGCTAGGACATCAAATAGAAATGCCAGAATATCTAAGGATCACCTGTCCCTACCTCTAGGCTATCTAGAGAAGCCAGGACATCAAATAGAAATGCCAGAATATCTAAGGATCCCTGTCCCTACCTCTAGGCTATCTAGAGAAGCTAGGACATCAAATAGAAATGCCAGAATATCTAAGGATCACCTGTCCCTACCTCTAGGCTATCTAGAGAAGCCAGGACATCAAATAGAAATGCCAGAATATCTAAGGATCCCTGTCCCTACCTCTAGGCTATCTAGAGAAGCTAGGACATCAAATAGAAATGCCAGAATATCTAAGGATCACCTGTCCCTACCTCTAGGCTATCTAGAGAAGCTAGGGCATCAAATAGAAATGCCAGAATATCTAAGGATCACCTGTCCCTACCTCAAGGCTATCTAGAGAAGATAGGGCATCAAATAGAAATGCCAGAATATCTAAGGATCACCTGTCCCTACCTCAAGGCTATCTAGAGAAGATAGGGCATCAAATAGAAATGCCAGAATATCTAAGGATCACCTGTCCCTACCTCAAGGCTATCTAGAGAAGATAGGGCATCAAATAGAAATGCCAGAATATCTAAGGATCACCTGTCCCTACCTCAAGGCTATCTAGAGAAGCTAGGGCATCACATAGAAATGCTACAATATCCAAGGATCGCCTGTTCCTACCTCAAGGCTATCTAGAGAAGATAGGACATCACATAGAAATGCCAGAATATCTAAGGATCACCTGTCCCTACCTCTAGGCTATCTAGAGAAGCTAGGACATCAAATAGAAATGCCAGAATATCTAAGGATCCCTGTCCCTACCTCTAGGCTATCTAGAGAAGCCAGGGCATCAAATAGAAATGCCAGAATATCTAAGGATCCCTGTCCCCACCTCTAGGCTATCTAGAGAAGCCAGGGCATCAAGTAGAAATGCCAAAATATCTAAGGATCCCTTTCTCTACCTCCAAACTATCTAGAGAAGCCAGGGCATCAAATAGAAAAGCCAGAATATCTAAGGATCACCTGTCCCTACCTCAAGGCTATCTATAGAAGATAGGATCACCTGTCCCTACCTCTAGGCTATAAATAGAAATGCCAGAAGATCTAAGGATCACCTGTCGCTACCTCAAGGCTATCTATAGAAGATAGGGCATCAAATAGAAATGCTAGAATATCTAAGAATCACCTGTCCCTACCTCTAGGCTATATAGAGAAGCCAGCCTCTAGACTATCTAGAGAAGATAGGGCATCAAATAGAAATGCCAGAATATCTAAGGATCACCTGTCCCTCCCTCTAGACTATCTAGAGAAGATAGGGCATCAAATAGAAATGCCAGAATATCTAAGGATCACCTGTCCCTACCTCAAGGCTATCTATAGAAGATAGGGCATCAAATAGAAATGCCAGAATATCTAAGAATCACCTGTCCCTACCTCAAGGCTATCTAGAGAAGATAGGGCATCAAATAGAAATGCCAGAATATCTAAGGATCACCTGTCCCTACCGCAAGGCTATCTAGAGAAGCTAGGGCATCACATAGAAATGCTACAATATCCAAGGATCGCCTGTTCCTACCTCAAGGCTATCTAGAGAAGATAGGACATCACATAGAAATGCCAGAATATCTAAGGATCACCTGTCCCTACCTCTTGGCTATCTAGATAAGCCAGGACATCAAATAGAAATGCCAGAATATTTAAGGATCCCTGTCCCTACCTCAAGCCTATCTAGAGAAGCCAGGGCATCAAGTAGAAATGCCAGAATATCTAAGGATCCCTGGCCCTACCTCAAGGGTATCTAGAGAAGCCAGGGCATCAAATAGAAAAGACAGAATATCTCAGGATCACCTGTCCCTACCTCTAGGCTATCTAGAGAATCTAGGATATCAAATAGAAAGGCCAGAATATCTAAGGATCACCTGTCACTTTCTTTAGGCTATCTAGAGAAGCTAGGACATTAAATAGAAATGCCAGAATATCTAAGAATCCCTGTCCCTACCTCAAGGCTACCTAGAGAAGCCAGGACATCAAATAGAAATGCCAGAATACCTAAGGATCACCTGTCCCTACCTTTAGGCTATCTAGAGAAGCTTGGACATCAAATAGAAATGCCAGAATACCTAAGGATCCCTGTCCCTACCTCTAGGCTATCTAGAGAAGCTTGGACATCAAATAGAAATGCCAGAATACCTAAGGATCACCTGTCCCTACCTCTTGGCTATCTAGAGAAGCCAGGACATTAAATAGAAATACCAGAATATCTAAGGATCCCCTATTCCTACCTCTAGGCTATCTAGAGAAGCTTGGACATCAAATAGAAATGCCAGAATATTTAAGGATCCCTGTCCCTACCTCTAAGCTACCTAGAGAAGCTAGGGCATCAAATAGAAATGCCAGAATAGCTAAGGATCACCTGTCCCTACCTTTAGGCTATCTAGATAAGCTTGGACATCAAATAGAAATGCCAGAATAGCTAAGGATCCCTGTCCCTACCTCATGGCTATCTAGAGAAGCCAGGGCATCAAATAGAAAAGACAGAATATCTCAGGATCA